GTGACGCAATTAGCTGATTTCCTCAAGGTGTGCCCAATCCACTTCCAGCGCTTCTTCCTGATTTCTTCCTCTGCTGGAATCTGGTTTCTTCTCTCCCACAGTAACTTATTGCTAATAGTGTCTGGCCATCGGATCCGAAGTATTTTGCGTAGACAGCTGTTGATGAACACTTGTATCTTCTGGATAATGGCTTTCGTAGTTCTCCACGTCTCCGCCCCATACAGTAGAACTGTCTTGACATTTGTATTGAAAATTCTAACCTTGGTGTCGGTTGGTCGTATTCGACTTATTTAATTCCATTCTTCACTAACATGGATTAAGTCGATAATTATATACGAGCATTGGTGACATGTATATCACAATAGCAATAAGGAATGATTCAACTGGAGTCAGATATAGGGTCACTGAAAATCTTAAACGTGAATAAAACAGCTATACTGATATTCTATGATTGTTGATCGTGACTTAAATTGAGTCTTTTCTGTCTAATATAGGAATGAACTTTGAAAAACGATCCGATTTATTTGTAAAGCTAGTGTGTAACTTCTTAATAATAATGTCTTATTTATTTCAGTGATCATCATTAAATGTTATTCGTACATATAGTTACTGTGTGAATTCATGTTTGCAATTATAATATACTATGACAATAATAAAAATAATAACGAAGATACTTTACAAAACTGACTAGTTTCATAACTTATATAGTTGAGATCATGAGTCAATTGAAGCTAGACCACCATGGAAAACTTGGAAGCACTGGACGGCCGTTTTGTCTGATTCAGTGTTCTATCGGTTAAGTGTTCTGAAAAGAGATTGGTAGGTCTTCGGTTCAAATATCGCGAGGCGGGATCGTGGATGCGCACTGCTGAGGAGTTACATAATAGAACGAAAAGGACGTTCAATGCTTCCAGGTTTTTCATGGTGATCTATCTTCAATTGACTCATGATCTCAACTATATAAAGTAATAAAATCTCCACAAAACCCCCTTTTAATAATTTCATAACCTTTAAAAACCTGTAAGAACTAAATCCTTGATCTTAATTCATATAGAGGTCTTCAAACTTTGTAAATTTAAGAATACAGATATGAATAGTGAAAATTTGGCTAGTGAACTATGATGAAATATTTGAAGTGGCTTAGACATTTTCAGTCAGCTTACAAATTATATCGACTTATCTAACTCTATGTTTATTATTTTTATTGTACTTGAACTATGGATATATATATTCACTCAACAGGTCAGTATATGAAGCGGCATGACTATAATTTATGGACGAACCAATGAGATTTAAAATAACAGGTGTTGGATTTTGGCGCGAAATTCATTCGTCTATTTGGTTAAATAGCATTTTGGCAATTTACCTGATGTCAGTTCGTGATGTAAACTTTAAATCTAATGTCTAATTCCAACCCCATCAATTGTTAAAACACAATTCTTATTCCTCATACTGGTTTATAACTATCATTTAGCTCCGGTAAGCAGGTGAACTATTTCAAGGTCAGTTTAAAGTCGTTCAAAGGTCATCTACAAATTATAGTCTCACCGACAATTAAAAAAACAACTGATTTTGAATGTACTTAATAACTGTTGGAATTATACTGAGGGATAACAAGTATGAAACCAGTAAAGTTATCAGAAAACGGAGAGAAATACATCTCTTAAATTTTATTTAGTAATTTCCAAATCAGAGTGGGGGGTTTTGAAGATTATAGTAAATTTAATAGTAGAATTTGTTAGTCAATCTAAGCTGAATCATTATAGAAAACCTGGAAGCACTTGATGCGCACTGTTGAAGATTCCTATACTAGAATGAAACAGCCGTACAGTACTTAAAGAATGTAACAACAAGGTATAAATTCTCTACATCGAACCATGTTAAGCTGTAAACATTTGAACTACATGATACCAACCAATCGGTAATAGTCAAACCTCATGAAACTATTGGTAGCATACGTAATATCAAAACCTTGATTCGTTGAATTTACATATAATTAGCATAGTAAATTAGAATTATATAAACTAAACGAATTTTGAAGTGAATACATTAGGAAAACACAACCGTGGCTAAACACATTGACTATATCAAACTACATAGTCTTTCATTGTAGAACAAAGATGAATGATTGTTTTCAACTCTAAAAAATATGTGATACGTAAGGTTTTAAAGTGGAAAGTATTTTGAGCGTAAGTATAATTCATGAAAATGATATGCAGTGGTGCTTGGAAACAAATACAATACCAACAAATAGGAGTAGAGTTTGAAAGGAATAACTACTAAACACTTTCCATTGTAGAAAGCATTGTCTAACCTTTTAACAGATTAAGCTAGGAAACCATCGAATAAGTAACTGACAGCAGTTATAAACCAATATAGGTCGTTTCAATGGTATGTGGGTGGTTGTCACTTCTTGGTTTTCCACAACTTGGAAGAATACTACTTCTAATTGGACCTGAAAATGAAACTTGGTTGGGGAAGATCTTAAAAATCCAGGGGATTGACCGTAGTGCCTAAGGGACAACCACAGGAGGCCGGTCGCACAAAGCCTTTTCGTCAGTATTTTCAGGTGAGTTAGCCCAGTAATTTTATGGTCTTACTATTACTGACGAAAATCCAAGGAGCGAGGTGGTGTTTATTTTTGGAGCTAACTTTTCCTACCCCTCTCCTTGCTTTGTAGAAAGGATGCATCACTGCAGACACTGGTTATCTGTTGAAAGCACCTTACTGCTGTCACGTCCTAGTATAGTCGGTAGTATGACTTTGGTCGCCCACGGGCCATAAGCTTGTTGCTTTTCAAAGAACTTGAATGACATGGTATGATCAGGAAAGACAGGGTCATCATGATATACAAGACTTTACACAGCTTTAAAGGGCGATGCTGGGCATGAAAGTGAGTTGGCGGAGAGCTTGAGGCACCAACCGAAGTGTGATATCACTTCATGAAACAATTGACTACTAGTCTGAGTCACATTAGTAGAACAAGATCACCTGCTTGAGGCCTGCGATCAGTGGTTAAAGATATTGGGTGATATGGCTCAGTATTAGTTATAACGGAACAGATAACTGCACTGATTTCGCTTCTCCTGACCCTAGGCCTCAGTACTCCCTGACACAGAAGTTTCGTTCTATTTCTATCTTGTAATTGCTGTGAATATTTTACTATCTCTTGTACTCTTTTAGTGGGAAGAGAATATGGATGATATTCATTTTAGTGTGTTGTGGCTTTGATCAATAGTTTACAGCTATCAGTCAGAACGTTCAATTCGTCGGTACAGTATAATGACTAAACACTAAGATTTATTGTATGCTATGAGTTTCAACGAAATCTAGAGTGACTCATTGCCGTTAGTAGGATTAACAATATCCTAAATTTGGAAATAGTATGCTCTTTGTGATATTTACTTGAAAGAATAATATTTGAGTAATGAGTTTCAAACTACTCACCAATAAAGTAGTGTTTCATTGGGGGTTAGTAGAACGTAGCTTACCAGTCAGTCAGTCACAACGTAGAACTTCGTACGTACGTACATCAGTTCGAGTTGCCATACCACACTAGCACAGAGATGCAGTTGTCGATTCAAATCCCATAGTGGTAGAAGTCGTAAGAGTATAAGCGGTAATCCGAAACATTAGTGGTTGAAGATGTTATTCAAGGAGTGTCACTCAGTGAAATAAATTTGAAAAGAGAAAAAAGAAAGGGACATGAAGAATTCTGAAGATTAGAATTTGGTAGAACACAAAGAGTGGATGCACCTTCGCCATTGCAAACGATTTGGAGCCATATCATTCAAGGTCTCTAACTATCGATTGCTATCATCTCGCGCATCCCAACCAGGTATTTTACACCTACCAGCATGGCTCAGTCCACTTGTCAGTGACTACATGGATTTGTGCCACATTTTGGTCTGGCCGCGCCTAACTTTCTTCCAACCTACTCCTACACCATAAAGCATTGCACGTCGGGGCGGTCGGTGGTTGGGCATACGTAACACGTGTCCCAGCCATCTCAACTGGTGAAGTTTCACTACTTCATCAATCGATTTGCCATCCTTACCTAGTACCCGTTTCCTAACATCTGCATTACTTACCCGGTGGTCCCAGGATATACGAGCAATGCTTCGAAGCCACCTATGATCGAATACTAGCAGCCTACGAATATCCTCTACTCTTATCGGCCATGTTTCAGTGTCATAAAGTAGGACGGAACGAGCTGCTTCTCAGTAAACCTATATTTTGGTTGCTAGACGGATATCTCGCCTTCGCCATAAATGACGCTTACCAGGTCGATTGTATGCATTAAATATCAGTTAAAGCCTAAAAGCTGACTTTAGTCGTTAAGATGTTTATTTAATTCATGATTCGGTAGGTGATAATCGTTTTAATTCTAAAGCACATTAGTTTAAGCTTAACTAGTCACAATTGAAAATATTGGTTACGAATAATCAATATTAACTGTTTTTTGGAGATTATCTTCAAATACTCAATATTAATTCACCTTAGTTATTGAGGATAGTGTTGATGAATTCATGATGTAAGCTATCAACTTCAAACCTCTACGGTAATAATAATCATATGCTCACAAGTAACTAGTTTTAAGAGTTAATTCCCGGAGTCGTAACGGGAAGCCACTACTAACGGGGCACGATCCTTTTGAGTGTAAATTACTTCATTATCTATTACAAAAAGGATAAGGTTGTACAATATCATGAATTGATTGAATTTTGACATGTGAACAATTGGATGCCAACATATTGGTCTGGAGGTAAAGTGCCTAACATGAAATCTGAAGGTTCTGGATTCGATCCCTAGAAGGGAAACTAACTTTCACTAGTGAGGAATCATATACTAGGGCAAAACAGCTAACCAATCCTTTCTGATTTTCAATAATTTTTTGATGAAACTCATTCTGTACTGTTCAAAATATTAAACTCTAACTCAACAAAGATTCTATAAGACAAAACAATTTACCAAAATTATGGCAAACACTGTTTACTTACTTGTATCAATTGTCATAAAGAAAAGCATTGTTTCTCTCCTGTAGAACAATATACCTTGAGATATTGCATATGGTCCAGCACCAATTACACCACTAGTTAAAGCTATAATAGCTGCATCATGTTCTGTACGACAAAATTGTCGTCTTACACGACGTACATATTGAAGTCCCGTATCTAATTGTCTCATTTTTGCAGGATTACCTAAAATTTGGAATAGAGAAAAAATAAAGTACAAAAAGATCTGTTACACTTTTAGAAAATAAAAAAAAGATCCTTGTTCAGTGTCAGATTTTTTTGTGCTGGCGTATCAGATCTGTGAAAAGTAGTCACCAATAATGATGGAACACTAGGGTTCATAATGTGCTAACATTTTGAATATCGAATGAACAACCTTATTAACAAAAGCTAGTAGATAAACTATCGACTACTTAATATATTTTGCTTTTGAAACTCAATACCTAAACGAAGATCAATATCTTCAGAGTATTCTAAAGAAGTGACTTACATTAGGTCGCGAAACATCAGAAATACAATTTTTGTTTACTCATTAGGATATAACAAAGAAAATATTTATTCTAAACTCTCTACCCAATACTCAATTTGCATGAAAGAAGATCTAGAAAGAATGTTAGGTGCTTGATAAATATTTATCAAATTATATTGATTGTAACAGTTATGAGATATTCTTAAAAGTATCAAATGATTAGCATAAAAGAAGAAATTGGTATTTATTTTCATACAAAATAGAGAAAAGAAATCAACCCTTTAAAAAGTTTCAGGCTAGAGAATGTTCGAACCGAAAAATATCACAGCGAATCATAGGGTTTATTAATCAAAAAAGAATTTTTTATTAACTGTAAGAACATAAAATAATTTCATAGTTGAAATCATGAGTCAATTGAAGTTAGACCACCATGGAAAACCTGGAAGCACTGGACGACCGTTTCGTCCTATTATTGGACTCTTCAGTGGCAGTGAGCATCCACGATCCCGCCTCGCGAGATAGATTCGAACCCAGGACCTACAAGTCTCGCACGGAGCATTTAACTGATAGACCACTGAGCCGGCATCCAACGGTGTTAATGTCTAACTTCAACCAATCCACGATGTTTGAGCAACCGTTCACCAATTGTCTTCAGTGAGTTGATATCTCTACAAAGGACTTGGTTGAAATCCACTGGTCACTGCTTCCCACTAGAACTCAAGGAAATATCTCTTGAAGTCAGTCACTAGTGAGCAACCTTTTATTTATTGATCAGAAGGGATGTGTGAAAGATATATATTTATGCTGTATAATTATAGGAGGTAGCCTATAGGAAATTTTTGACCTGGATTCCATGTGAATTGACCTTCATCCATTAAGAATATCTGAACTCTTGAAAGAACTGATACTCCAAGTGAGATTTTCAACTTCATCAACCAGCTTCACAGTTTAACAGTTTACTGCTAAAACGTTTGTATAGTAACTAACTACTTGAAGGACTGGAACATTCAAAATTTGTTGATCAGCAATTAGTAATCTGTGGCGAACTATTCAGACTAGTTGACAAATCGAGACCTGATTGACACAATTTTATCAGTTTTAAATGATTACACGGATAAAACATTCATCATTAATCAATGATCGGTCAGTTATACTTGTTTATAGTACCCGAATACTGCCCTACCTTATATATTCTTAAATAAAATTTAATTCGTGAAAATAAATGAAAATTAGATGTGTTTCATGTTGTATAGTGAATAGCAGACTGCTAAATTTCATTAATGTCAATAGAAGGTTATTAACTGCTTTCCTCTCAATATATTGTTTGATTATGTCGTAATCTAAACCAATACAATAACACTCATGTTACGTATATGTATACTGTGAAAAGTTACACTCATAGGAAACGTTTGATCCACAAAGATAAATTGTTATCAGGCAGCATTTGCTTTATAACAACAAAATGGAGGTTTAAGGAGATTGTAGTAATTTAATAACTGAATTCATTAGTTGATCAAAGCTAGACCACCGTGAAAAAGTTAAAAGCACTGGACGGATGTTTCGTCCTTGTACTGGACTTTTCAGCAGTGTGAATTCACGACTTCACACGCAGAAATCGAACCCAGGACCTTCGATCTCGCGCTCGAACGCTTAACCTCTAAACCATTTGGCTTTTTGAATGGAGTGCTAGAAAAAAATATAATTAAGTGACCCTATATCTTTAAGTATATAATTTAAATAAAAGGTAGTAAGAATGAAATGTAGATATTTCACCAAGATATTTTAAATTATTAATAAATAAGTAGTTACAAAATAAGTAGCCGTTAGGTCCATTATCTTAAAATTAAATCATCTATTCATTAATGACTGATAAAATCAATATTTTCTGGGATGCTTGATGCTAATTACGATTTTCTCGGTATACGAATGAGGGTCAATGACATAGAGACACGATAGTCTAATCTAATCCGTTGTCCTAGGCCCCGCTAACTAGAGGAAGAAGTCCAAGACGAAGTAGGAGAAATATATTCCGTAAGCAGCCGAAGTACAAGCAGTTACACTAGGAAGAAATCAATCGTATTTATAAAGTACAAAATTGTCCTTGGAAAGCATTAAAAAATAGCATACTAAAAAGATACAACGAACCAATAACGTTTAAGATATTTCCAAGTGGGAAATACGACTCAAAGGTGAAAGGAGGGCTTTTGGTGCGAAAATAAGGAAATTCACATTTTCAAAATAAAATTACAAAAATAAGTCATTTATCAAGTACGTTCTGGGGATTTAACATCCCCAACAATGTCATTGGACAATGAACTTGATATAAAGAAAATTTCACAATAAGCCGAAAACAATCTTGTTAATATTTTAGGTACTTATTTTGTAATATATCATTGATCACAGCTCTTGAGTAAATAATCATGGTTGAATCATATTAATATTAAGAGTCTCTCACAGTTCACACCTTTTACTCTGAAGTGAAAAAGTAGTTATGATAATGTTAATGTGAACATTACTTTTGATTTGAATTTCCTCACATTTGTAGACTAGATGTCTGGTTAATCCAGATTTAATATTATTAGTATGCGGCTGTACAGATTGTTACCATTAGATAGTTAGGCAGGTGGACTTACATGCTATTAGATGTTTGAGTATGGTCACCACATCCCAATTGTCAACATTGTGAAATGAGACTTTTCCTTAAGGTAGCTGGAAAGAAAACTAGAATACTAGTGTTCTCAATGATCTAAGTAAGTGACTACAGAACCCAAAGAACAACTGCTTGATACCCGATACATATGGCCTTTTCGTGAGCGATTGAAGATGATATAGCTCCCTATTGCTTTTTTTAAAGTTTTTAAACTTGAATCCCTAGAAAATTAAGTACAAAATCTTTGAAATGGGAGAGGAAGGATCATGGATGAGCACTGTTGAGGAGTCCCACAATCGAACGAAGCAGCCGTTCAGTGCTTCCAGGTTTTCCATGGTGGTCTAGCTTCAATTGACTCATGATTTCAACTATATATACAAATATCATTAGTTAAACATTTAAAGTTTTATGATAACCTGTCATAAATTCTATTTATACACAAATAAATGACTTACTAATAATATCAGGTGTTTTCCTTTGTTGTGATAATTGAGTATTTGTCATTGGTACACTAATTAATGATCCACTTGGTAAATTAGATGGTTGTTGAACTTCTTTAACTAAGGCTATTGTTTCGGACATATATTGTTTTTCTAAACTAAGCATTCGTTTTACTATGACCAATGATTCAATATATCTTAAAATAAAAACATGTAAAATGTAGACATTTTAATAGGAATATATAAAACTCAAAACAATTGTCAAGCAATATCAAAATCAGAATTTTTAATACAAGCATCAAGACAGTTCTACTGTACGGAGCTGAAAGGTGGAGAACTACTAGAACCATCATTAAGAAGGTATAATTATTTATAATTAGTTGCCCACGCAAGATTCTCAATATCATTTGACCGAATATCATCAGCAACAGCCTTCTGGGGGAGAGGACAAGTCAGCTTTCAGACTGAGAGTGCCGTTTGGCGACCTGTGCTCCTCCACGACAAGTAACAGGCGTAAGTAAGTAAGATTGGTGAAAAATTCAAATTATTCAAACAAATTCACTTGGTGTTGTTTACTTGTATCTTTTGATTGTTGTAGCTAAGTGGATAAGGCGATGGCGTTTGAAGCAAATGATATTGGGCTGGAGTCCCGGAGTGAACATCAACTCTGGGATGCAGGTATATCCAGCTAACGAGTTTCAAATAGGACGAAACGCGAATACAGGATTAAGCTGTTAGCCACTATCCATCTTTGTTCAAACAAATGTTCATCTTCAAATGACATTGAAAGATTTCAGAAAAGCGTAGAAAATTATAATACAAAGATGGAATGAATGTATTTGTGGTGTATGCTGCTTATGTCGATCAACATTAGTAGTATATAATACCAATCGAAAGTGGAAACCTTGGCAGCACAAAGCTGAGAAGATCGAGTTGAATAGAACAGAATAAAAAGGAATTATGAATTGGCGGGATCATACAGAATGTGAAGAACAAATGATAAAAATTTTCAAATCAAGTATTCAATGTATGGTTCTCATATTTTACGAAGATATTCTGTAATTTTGTATGAAATAATAAATTGGTTGTCCCCACCTGAGTGTTCAATCATTCGTTTTTTTCAACTAAATTGAAGAGGTATTCACTATTTTCAACATGGTTGTAGTCGACATTGCCAGTTAGATTAATTTTGAACGATGTCACTGAAAGATTCGAATCAGCATATTATATCATGATTACTACTAATGTAGTGAACGAGAACACATTACAGAATATTTTGGTAAAGTCTGAGAACCATACAATAATACCTCATTCTTTCGTTTCCATATCAATTACTCTCTGTTCTCTTTCTCTTCTACTCGATTTTCTCAACCTTCTGCCATTAGGCATTTCCATTTGGATTGGTGATACATACTACTTATATCTGCCGACATCAGTAGCGCACACCACACTACCACTAGTGAAACGATGGCAATCTCGATATGCTAATTTTTTTTACATATAGACTAATTTATTTAGATTCAATATTCAATTTTTGATTTAAGTAAATAGAAAGTTGCTCAATTGAAAAGTATTTTTATTAACATTTATCAATAAGGTCTAAATATAACGTTGATGACATTCATAATTATTCTGGTTTCATGATGCGGTAAAAAATGATGAATACCTTTTTATTGTCAAAATTTAAGTATAAATGTTTAACTGTTGAACAGTCATTTCAAATGAGTTTTCAAGCTCGGTCAAATGTAACTGTATCAATCTTTGTTTATAGTTATTGACAGCCATCTTTAAATCTTATACATCTATAATTGTATGAGCTTTCTCATTTTTGATATTAAAGACTGTATCTGATCAATATATACTGAGATATTTGCATGCTAGATTCGAGCCCCTCTATAAACACTGACATTTGGATGCAGGTAAATCCAGATTACAAGTCCCGAATACAATAAAATGAGCAACCAGGATTCTACAACTAACCATTATGCAAGATTACTAAAATATCAACTGTCTCCAGAATTGATATAAATCCTCAATAAGATTATAAATCAAGTCATCAAAAAAACTTAAATAACACAAACTAAAATCTCATTTGAGACCTAATCTGCTACACGCTCTTATTGGTTCTGTAAATTATTATTTATTTTAATTCGTATCCTCATTTATTGTGATTTGATGGTAACAGTCTTGTAATTAATGCGTTTTAGTTAATAATCTAAATGACTTACTTATACTTTCATACAATCATATAGGACTACTCATTCTAAACCCTTTGAAAAGCTCCAAAATATATTCAAGTAATTATATAACTTAGATTCTACTGAATAGTATTTCTGCTTGAAATCAATTAATGGTGTAAAAGTGAGTTATCTTGCAGCACCAAATGCTTAAGATTTATCTTTGGAAGTTAAGAATTCAGCTTTCAAGTAAAAACGATTCATACTTGAAATTTACTTAGTATTGTTTGTTTGGATCTTCCCATTGATGTTTTTAGGACTGAAACTGGTCAGTCTCTAATTGGCATATGTGCATATTGTGCGTATTGCCTCGATATAGCCTTGATTCACAAGCATGGTAAGCAAAAATGGATAGTGGCTAGCAGTGGAATCCAGGACGCGCGTTTCGTCCTATTTGGAACTCGTCAGCTGGATGTACCTGCATCTCAGAGTTGATGTTCACTCTGGGATTCGGACCCAGTACTTTTCGCTTCAAACGCCTTCGCGTTATCCACTCGGCTACTGAGTCCTGATAGCTACATGTTCGAGTTCCAGAGTGAACATCAACTCTGAGATGCAGGTACATCCAACTTACGAGTCCCAAATAGGACGAAACGCGCGTCCTGGATTCCACTGCTAGCCACTATCCATCTTTGCTTACGATTCATACTTGTTATGAAACATAGTATAAATACTATCCATCTATGGGAACCAAGGTAGGTGGAGTGGGATTTGGAACATGAAATTCACTAGTTCGAAATTGAGTGATTAAACCATCTCTCTAAGGTCTTATGAAGCTGATCTTAATATATCATGGATTCCTCTGACACTTCACTGGCTTACATTAATCACAGGTAAATGACTTTTATATTTTTTCAAATCTGTAATTGATAAAAAAAACCGTTGACAATAAGTGTTATAAACGGTAGGATACTTGTTATAACGCTAAGCTTTCTTGTTTTAACAGTCTTTTCAATTTTACACGTATGTGGGACGTTAATTTACCTTAATCGAATATCTACACTAGATTCCCACCTAGTGTCTATTCTGTACAGGATATTAACACAAATCATATCAAGAACACAAGATTAGCCTGACTAGAACGTCAATATATTCCCACACCAAAATTCGACACAATCCAACAACAAGGAACAGTTAAACAATAATAATAAGGATAGGGGAATATATGACACATATAACACCTGTCACACTATCTACATGTCCGACTCAGCAAAACAACCAATCATTATCATTCTCACCCACACATCAATAAGAATAGAGTCTTCAAATTTTTATATTAACCAATATCAGTCGAATCTAATATCTCATAACACTGTACATGTTATGGTAAATCCTTTAAACTAATGGTTACACTGTAATCCAATTGATAGAATTCCTTTTGTACCCAAGGTACTATACACAGGTGACATTACCTATTACTTAGTAGCCACCAGTTGATTGTATTTATGTGGATATGTTTTGTATAATCAATGCTTGCTTGTTGAGTAATCAGAGATTATGAAATAAACTCCTTAAAATTTCATGATTGAAATCATGAGTCAATTGAAGATAGACCATCATGGAAAACCTAGAAGCACTGGACGGCCGTTTCGTCCTATTATGGGACTCCTAAACAGTGCGCATCCACGATCCCGCCTAGCGATATTTAGTGGATGCGCACTGTTTAGGAGTCCCATAATAGGACGAAACGGCCGTCCAGTGCTTCCAGGCTTTCCATAGTGGTCTATCTTCGATTGACTCATGATTTCAACTATGAAATTACTGAAATCTCCACAAAACCCCTTCCTTAAAATTTCACAATCTATTCGTTTTTGTTTGTTACATATTTTCTTTATATGCACCAAATAGTATAATAGAAATTTAGTTTTATGAATATTTAATCAGACTATTTTATGACCTAAATTGATTATTTTTTTCTTTCTTTCTATAAAGGCTTGAATGAACTCTTAACAAGTAGCTAAGTTACATAACAGTCAGTGTATATCTATGGTGAAATATCATAGTTATATATTACCATTAACAAACAATCGATTAGATGATCTATGGAAATATGTTCAATATGTATATATATGAGAAGGTTCTATTGAATTGTTACATAATTTGTTACATAATAGTTGAATAGTGCTAATTAGAACTGACATATATATACATATATATAGATAAGAGAAGAACATGTTGGTAACGTGAATATCCAGTTATGTCATAACAATAAATATCTGTGTATGTATGTATTTTTTCTAGTTCAGTTTAATTGAATTCTATATTAGAAGTGCGTAGAAACATTTTTCGGATTTCTCAGTGTTGAATAAATTTCTGAAATAATTTTAGGTTACATTTTTTGTTCCAATAGAGTTAATAGCTTATGATCTTGTTTATGGTTATTCAATGCTGAGGAGTCCTATAATACGACGAAACGGCCGTCTAGTGCTTCTAGGTTTTCCATGGTGGTCTAGCTTCAATTGACTCATGATCTCAACTCTATAATATTCAATAAAAGTATATTGTTGTGTGTGCTACTGATGTCAATAGATATAAGTAGTAAATATCACCGATCGAAAGTGAATTAAATACCTGGGGATACGAGGTTAAGAAGATTGGGGAAAAGAGAACGAAAACAAAGATTGGTGTGGAAACAATAAAACAATGAAGTCTGAGACGATTGACTGATATTTGCAAAAGGAACAGTCAACTTTTAGACAATTGATTGACATTTACCGTATGATGTCCTGTAATTTTGTGTCCAAATACATTCGATTGTCCCCACTTGTGTTCTCATTCACTACAACACTACTTCTCTCAAAATTTCAAATACATTTTATTTGTATGCTCTCTTAATGACCTTTTTAATGATTCAAACAGACGATTAAATTGAAGAGTAAATCAGTTATGAATAACCTAGGATCTGACAAAATTGTGCATGGATAGACTTTGTTTTCGGTATTAATAAAAAGAGATGAAGTCAAGAAAATGTTTGGCAAGATTGTCTAATTAGAACCTGTGACAGTGAAAAGAAAGGGCTAATTTTAAACTCTCTACGGTATAGATAAGTATCAGTCAACAAATAAAACATTTAAATCAAAATTAAATTTAAAACTTTAAGGTTAAAAATGAATGTTATTAGTTCACCTTGCAATTGGTGCCATTCCTAAAACTGTCAGTGTAATTCGCATAACTACCCATGCTTCTTTATTTTGTTCTTGTATTTTTGTACGTTGACGTTGACTTGATGCATTCCAACGTCTCCAATAAATGATACCATCCACAATACCTGTTACTTTAATTCGGAAGAAGAAAAAATTAACTGACAACCATTGTATTTTAGTTTTACTTTCTTTTATGTACCATAAATGCATAGACAACTAACTGCTCAACATTTAATTAGGCTGATTAGATGGATTGTATGTAACGGTGGAACAAAAGACCCTCATTTTATCCAAATTAGGGACTCACCAGCTGGGTGTACCTGCAAACAAATGTTGGTATTTACACAAAACTTGAACCTAATGCCTTTTGCTTAATAGGTACAATGTATTATCCACTTACCTACTGAGTTCATGTGCCAACTGGGTTGTGTAGCTCGGATAAATTTTGCTTTACTTTAAGTTTTAGAATCTTTCTTTTGTTATTTTTCCTAAGAACAGAGAACTATCAGTCTCTTTTTAAATGGAAGGATCGTGTGAGAATTTTATTATAACTTTCAAGTGAACACCAATACTGGCATGCTGAGCACATTCAATTGACAAGTCAAAAAATTCCACTGCTAACCACTATCCAAATTTGCGTAAAACTCCTTGTGAGTCAATATAAAATAATATGATAGTAATCCTCTCCCGATCCAAATATGTCAAAAGAGACTGATAAACTCTAGTCTTGGAGAGTGAAATTGGTAAGATCCAAATACTTATAAACAGAATAAAGAAGAATAGTTCTGAAGTGATTTACACTTTCAGTTCTAGAAACTTTAAGCCTATGCAATCAGAGCACTACACAGTGTCCAAACAACACTCATTCAGTTCCAGATTACCGTATACATTGCATATATTTATTTTCATCAGTTAGTAATTTGCATTGAAAGTGACATACACTAAACATCTATTTTCTTATTTCGTTAGGCAATAAATCGTGACATATATTTGATTAAATATAATATGTAATGATGTGTGAGATGGTGTATCCCGTGGAGAATTATGAATGGTAACTCTGAGGACTATTTACGGACTAATGTGGTATGCATATTTCCTATTGTATAATTGCTAAGTAACTTAACTATTTTTATTCATGTTTCTTTTATCATAAGCTTTATCTTGACCTATGAATTATTATTATACGATTTACCATTCTTGAGTTATACCCAGTCTATTGATTACTGTCCCCCATATTCACAGCCACATTTAGCTAAATCCTGTACAAATATTATTTTCTATTTTATGGTACGATGTGGTCTGTTTGATTGGCATATAAACCCAGTATGTTTGAGAATAACGATTCACATTGCAGAGGCTGTTATTGGTGTTCTGGACTTGACTGGTTAGGCTAGGTAGATAGCAGGACTGACAAGTACGGTTTTTCGTGTGCCACTGTCTCAATCGATAATTCACTGCTCTCTGATTGGCGGTTTTAACATACATTCATACATTAACAAGTCATCCACTCGGCCACAAGATATAACATGAGATACCTAGCTTTTTCGCCAATATTTATCAATAAATGAATTTGTTTACTTACTTATATATTGTCCAGCTATTAATACCGAGATTGAAACAGATAACTCTAAAATACTTTCATTTGTAAAATTCATCACATGTAATACAATAGTAGCCCATGATGTAATCAAAAATCCCATAAATATAATTATTGATATGATTTTACGCCAAACACCACGGTGTGCTATCAGATCAGCAGAGACACTTGCTGCTGAACTTAGATTTGTATGAGCAACACCACTATACGATTGATAAGATGACATGAGTTGTTTTAGACGTCTATTTGTGTTGTATATTTGTTTATTTTGAATTTTCACATTTCAACTAACTGGCGGGTGTTTTTCTATAAAAATAAATTTGAATTAAACAGCATTTACAAGAGCAAGAATGATAAAAATACATGAGATTTACAAATTCAAGTATATAGTAATCTAAGCCACGTGGATCTAGTATTAGACAACAGCGGTGGGAATCCAACAAGAATGTAGTAAAAATTGAATTGAAATACTTTTCGAGAGAGCTGAAGCACACTTCAGGACTCTTTCCGACCGAAAAGTTGATGAAACCTACTTTCTGCCTGTCCCAGTAGAAGTGGCTATCCTCCTGATATCATAGAAAGATAGCCGACAAACTAACACATCGTAGTAGAAGTATTCACAGTAAATAGGAAACAAACACTTCTATCATACTTAAAAAGATTCCCAAAGCCATAACACTGAGTTCAAACGACTTTTAAATGAAAATAGTACATAAGCCAACACAATCATTTTGTCCTATCTGATGTAGGCTGTAAGGCATAAAAGCAAAAATGCAAATACATCATCTAAGAAATAAATGAAACTAATCACGTAGAGGAATACAGGCTATTTGCAAAACAAGCGCCATGTTATCTATCACATCAATGCGCACAGACTCTTGGAAAAGGTTTAAGCTTTGTTACAAGAAAAGTCAGAACATACCAAACGTTCTCTGGAAACTTATCATTCAGTTCAATATGCCTAACTGGTATTAAGTTACTGACTTTACATACCATTCTGTAGGGAGAAAGGTACGTCAGTTAGCCAGTTAGCTACAACGTAGGATCAGGCACATATGTGCATCGGTAAGCGACTACAGTTCGAACGAATAAAGCAGTCAAAAAATACAAAGACAAATGAAATAAATCGAAATCCATAAGACGACTAAATACAGATAAAGTCATCAAAATAGATTGATTAAATGCCTGTGGAATAATTAAACAGTTAATTCCCGCGTTGATCGGGCACTCATTATACTATCCAACTACGACGAAAGCCTTAAATTTCAGTCACCCAGCTTAAAAAATACGGCACAACCAAAATATTTAGTAATTTAACGTGAAGTTATCTCTTACAGATTTAAAAGAAACAAGTGGTTTCTTTTGAAACTTTAATCATCCGCTTTTACAAACTCAGAGTTTTAATTCCCTGAACTAGTGGAAAAGCTTTATTGAGAACACCAGTATATCATAAAGCCTTAACCACATTTGTTCAATGGCTTTAATAGTAGTTCCTGAATATATTAGGATCCCAAACGTTGGCCGACTAAAGTCATAGAAATAAGATAAGCCTGGAATTATCAAGTTTTATTAAAATATTTCGCATCAAAGGTTGTTGGTCTGAACCTGATTTCTTTTAGATTTAATAAAACACATGAAATCGTCACATCAGAAATAAAATATTGGTTAATTAAGTAATGGGCACTTCCATGTGTGACAAAATATCTTATGTATAAAACAAATTGACTGGACGCATGTCCGAAATCTCGGCAGCCAAATCACGAAACACATTCTGTTTAGCTGAGAAGTGCACGGGGTTTAGTCTAAGCAACTCTAATGACACTTTAATGATCTTCATTTAAAAGTTCATAATAAAGTAATATACTGTGGAATGCCATACGAAGCATATCTATTGAAGATATTATTATCAATCTTGTAGTTAACAGTTTTATTTACTGGATAAAAAAGACTATACGAACATTTGGTCGTAATATATTTTCCATTCTTTAAACTTTAAGAAATATTAATTATTAACTATGTAAATGTTTTCAGATTTAGTAACCCTTAAACTATGCGGTGATTTGTTATAACTTAAATGTTTTGGTAATATTTAGGGTCCATACATTCAACTGTTAAGTCAGACACATGGGTTGTTTGTTTTCCTTTGTTTATCTCCAATTATCTGCTATTTCAGTCGACTACTTGCATAACTACTCCCGTCACTGATCTTTAATGAGACTGGTTTGTAGTGACCGGCCATTCTCGATAAGAACACGATTGGAATAACAGAAACAATTATTATTATTATTGTAACCAATTGTACCAGAGAATGTTTTACTGTATTTGTTTAACTGTATCAGATTCACTTCTTGTTTCGTTATCCGCCTTGTTTGGTTCGAACTTGCTCACTCACTGCCCATTTCGCCTGTACCCTTTGGCACTTCTCGGTATTAATTCGATACCACGAGATCGCCAATAAATATACTTGATCTGGATTAATAAAGCCTTCTGATTTACGAGCTATCAAAAGAACCAAGTCGTTTTTGGACGCGTAATCGAATAGTAGTGGTGATCATAGTCCGTCTTCGACTCGACATCCACTACAGGTTAATTCCTGAAACTTGCTTCAAAGCAACCTTTAAAACTTGTTGTACAAATAGAAGTTGCGTGTTTTGTGCACAAACTAATGAAAAAATTTTTGGATTCAAATTTAAACACTGTAGGTTTGGTTGCAGTTATTCAAAAGGATTTGCTTGATATTATTTAATGTCAGCCAAGTATATAAACATTAAAAACAGCTTCAGAGTCTATTCAACACCAGTTGATCACTATGATTAGTGCCAGAACGTAATAAACTTGAAATCTTCACAATACATATCAAGTATCTCTGCTTTAACATAGCTGCAATATAAATTCGCAAATCACGTCTAATACTCTCTTTTGTAATAGATCAATACATGGTGATCGTTGAATAACTTTTAGTTACGTCATAATAAATATTTTTTGGTAAACTACTTCTTATAAGCCAGTGGTTCATAGAATAGGATTTATATAGCTCGATAGATCTCCTCTCCTTACTACAGAAGAATGATATGGCTTCAATTAGGTGTAAAACTTAGTGGCTAGCAAACAGAAAAATCGTTGCTTTTCGCAACCAAATGACGCAGCCTAAAATCGTGGACTGATATTGGCAGCCAAATTTAATAGTAGAGTGCTTATTGTGATCATGTTTCATATCAGTCCATGACTTAACATTCAACTTAACTGCATTTTAAAATACTGAGTTTTCCTTTCAAGTCAGTGATAAATTATATATTGCCCATCACCGTAGTTAGCAAGTAACTAAAGTATTTGATTTCGATTAGTGGTAACATCCTTCATGAAACTTTATTCGAGCACTTTTGTGGTCGTAGGATGTAGTTCGTTAAATTTTCTTCACTTCTCATAAAAGATAGAAAACCGAATAGCCTTCCTATACATATGTGTGACGAATTTCAGATTTTGCTTTACCCTCTAACTTATTACTGAAACTTTTGACCATTCGTCACAGAAAAAGAAGACATCCAGATTTAAATCACGTTTCGTGCAGATGAACAGAAAGGGTTTTCTGAAACCCTATGTTCACTGAATGAAAGAGACTGCTTATTGACAAATATATTTGGGTCGTCATCATAAACTTCAGAAATCTTAGAACAATAAACATGGACATAATTTTATTATACAATGATCGCGATATATTTCGAAACGATTATTATATTTTAAAGATTATTACAAACAGCCCACTAATGAAAATAAGAAACCACACCCAAGATGAGCGCTTAAAAATGCATTGAAATTGTAAAAATCCGACATTTTAATTTATTTAAGCACTTGTGTCAAACATTTAATCTTTCAGATTATTCGAAATTCGGCACAAACCACTGATTTTTAAATTCTTAGCCGCGAAACACATAGAAAATCTTACAAAATGTCAGTGAACTAATCAGATGGATGGTAAATAAATGTTTCTCACAAAAATTGACTACTATCAGGAAACCTCATATCCGTATCTAGCGGGGCTTACATTTACAACAGACACATGACAGTTTGCACATACAAACAAGGCACTTTGTAAAGTAATTCCTAATATGAATCATAAACCAAGTTGTCCCTTGAATTTGACATAAAAATTGTATCATGTAGATTTTTAGCATCACTTCTCCTAATATGTAGATTTCGTGCTCATGTAATAGTTTGGTGTGATTCTATGACTTCAATAATATACATGAACGTATTGAATGTGTCTTCTAAGTCATCAATTTACTTGGTATTTCATTCTATGAATTTCCGGACGCTCATACGGCGGATTCATTTTAGAAATTTAGATTTAGGTTACTGGGGACTGATGAGGCAAAATCTCAGTATCAAAAGACTCGAAATACCTGTGCCTCAACCCTCCGTAAGGCCAGAAAGCTCTACGAAGAGAAAATCGTTAGGGAATCCATAGAATGCCCTAAACGCTTGTATCCGTATATAAGCCAAAGGGCAAAGAGAAGAAGAAATGTTCCTTCACTATGGGGAGGCGGTACTGCCACATCACTAGTGGAGGACGACTTTGGCAAAGCTCAAGTATTCTCTAAATACTTTAGCAAAGTATACACCATAGAAACACCCTTCTCAACAGTCCATGAAAGTCCCCCCACACAAGCACTGGACAGCGTAACCATTAAAGAACTCGATGTCTTTGGTCTGCTAATTAAGCTTGACATAGGTAAATCCACTGGACCCGATGAACTGCATCCTAGGTTACTAAAGGAATTAGCTAACTTTGTTGCGAACCCTTTAAGTGTATGTTTTAATCTATCCGTAACCCAGGGTCGTCTACCAAAAGACTGGAAGAACGCCATAGTAAGTCCAGTCTTCAAAATAGGTACAAAACATAAGCCTGAGAATTACCGACCAATTAGTCTAACTAGTGTGGTTGTTAAAATCTTAGAAAATATTATTCGGAAGGAACTGTTAAAGTATCTCGATGAAAACCGGATCCTCTCCGAAAAGCAGCATGGTTTTAGAACAGGTTACTCTTGTCTCACAAACTTATTAGTCGCTCGTGAAAGCTGGTGCTCTCTTAAGGACCAAAAATTACCTATAGACGTAGCTTACATCGATTTCAGCAAAGCTTTCGACAAAGTTCCGCATAACCGGCTGTCATATAAGCTAAGGAATGTCGGGATTGGAGGCAATCTATTGATGTGGATAAAAGACTTCCTAGTTGGGCGTCAACAAAGAGTAAGGGTGAACTCCAAGTTGTCTAGCTGGGAAACTGTGCTTAGTGGAGTCCCCCAGGGTACAGTTTCGGGGCCAGTGTTATTCCTCCTGTAAGTAAATGACCTCCCTCGTCTACTATCGTCATCGGTCTTACTCTATGCTGATGATGTCAAGATATGGAGAGCGATACAAAGCAAGGGCGATAGCTTGGAACTTTAAAATGACCTGGAGAGATTATCTGAATGGTCCCAAACCTGGCAATTGCCGATGAACACTTCGAAGCGTATTGTGATGCATATTGGCCACCAGGGTACAGATACATACATGATGAATAACACTGAGTAACTTATTGTACAGGCACACAATGAATTAGGCGTCATCGTTAGTCAAGACTTAAAGACTACTGCACACTGCCGTGCAATAGCCGCCAAAGGTTTCAGGACCTTATGGTCCATACGCAGGGCTTTTAGTCATCTCGACGCTAAAACGTTTCTGACTTTATATACAGTGTTCGTACGCCCTAAACTTGATTACTGCATACAAGCGGCTAACCCCTGCCTAAAAAAGGCAGTGAACTCTTGGAAAGGGTTTAGAGAACAGCAACTAGGCTGATTCCCGGAATAGCGGAGCTCCCGTGTGGTACTAGACTGACCAAGCTAAACCTATTCCCGCTGTCATATAGAAGAATCAGAGGCGATGACAATGACAAATTTGCACCTGATATGCCCTCATTTTTCTTGTCTTCCAAAACAGAAAATCTACGAGGACACTTCAAAAAAGTTCACAAGCCCAGTACGAATTACTTGTCAGCTGACTACCGACTTCCCCATCGAATAATCAACGAGTGGAATTCATTGCCTCAGCACGTGGTTGAGGCTTCACCCGTCGACTCCTTCAAAAGAAAGTTGGATCAGCTGAGAGACCATCATTGCCAGGACTAACGCAGTCCATCAATCCTTTTGTCCTTTCTAAACTGAAACTGAAATTGAACCTAATGGTGACCAAACAGAAATTCGGGAATACAATAAGTAGCAGACCATCGGATTAATCAACGCTTTTTTGAAATGGGATTATGAAACATATGGACTATCAACTAAAACGAGTAGATGTATAAAGTTACGTAATTATGTTTACACTGAATTTCCGGATTGGAATTCTTAAACTCATTGTCCATAGGTAAATCTACCACATATATATTCGTCTACATAAATCATGCGTTACGGACAATAACTAATGTTATATGTCGCATGTCTTTCTTTTTTCATCCACCCTCACAGTCACTGTACACTGGATAACTCGATGTCTTTGTTCGGCTTATAATCTTGACATGGGCATATCTATGGGTCCCGATGAACTACATTTCAGGTCACTAACTTCGTTGCGAACCCTTTAAGTATATACACTAATCTATCTGTAACCCAGGGTCATTCACCAAAAGGCTGTAAGAATGTTATATTTTCAAAGCAGGTACGAAGCATGATGCTGAGAATTAACGACCCGTTAGCTTAACTAGCAAGGCTGTTAAAATTTTAAAATCGATTATTCGGAAGGATCTGCTTATACATCTCGATGGGAACCGGATACTTTCAGACAAGCAGCATGTTTTCAGAACTGGTTATTTGTGCATCACTAACCTGTTAGTGGTTCGTGAAAGCTGGTTCGCACTCAAAGACCGAAAGATACCTATATACGTAGCGTACATTGACTTTAGCAAAGTTTTCTACATAGTTCCCCACAATGGACTGTTATATAAGTTAAGAAATATCGGGTTTGAAAGCAATCTATTATTACGGACAAAAGACTTCCTAGTAGGCGGCAAACAGTGAGTATGTGTGAACTTCAAGTGGTCTAGCTAGAAAAGTGTGCTTAGCAGAGCACCTCAAGATACAGTCTTGGGCCTAGTGTTATTCCTCTTATACTTAAATGACTTTCCTCGTCTCCTGTCATAATCGGTCTTGCTATTTGCTGACGATGTAAAGATATGAAGAGCGTTAGGAAGTAAGGGTTTAGAACTTAGAACTTCAAAAAGACCTGGAGAGTTCATCTGAATTGTCTTAAATCTGGCAATTGCTGATAAATACTTCCAAGTGTATCGCGATTCATACTAGTCATCAAGGTACGTATGCATACTTGATTAATAACACTGAGCCACCTAATGTCTAGACACACAGTGACCTGAAAGTCGTCGTCAGCCAAGATTCAAAGACTGCTGCTCTCTGCCATGCGATAGCCGACAAAGTTTATATAACCCTACGATCAAAACGCAGTGCCTATATTCCTGTCGATGCTAAACATTTTTTGACTTTGTAGCCGTAAATAATTCCCCAAAATCAATAGTTCATTAAGTGTTCGACATTGGATGCTGACCACGTGTTTAAGTGGACTTGTTTAGCTGAAGGCTTTCGGTCATGCATCCGTACCAGATCACGTTTCAACACGGCGTGGGACACAGCTCCTACGTTTCATTAGCCAGCTCATAGAAAAGGTCCTCGATAGATTGGTAACGAATCAAATATATCTTTCCTGCCTCTTCTCGTCTGACTTCTGATTTCTATCTGACTGGGAACAATCGAATTTAGAAGGTGCTACTGGTATCTAGTTGTAAAACTAAAATATTCGTCGTATACTTCAGTGGTGAGCCCGACGTGATCTGGTACACCAAGTCAATATACTGTGAGTCTGTTCCATTTTGGAATATTATTATTCATTGTTATTCTTTATTTGAATTTTATATATTGTGATATACTTTTTCTAGCGATTTTTTTTCTCGGATATATTTTACTTAGACATTTTTCGATATCTATATTACTATGACGGAACACTCTCCTAAGGTTCTTAAGCTTAAGTCTATTCTTCCTATTTCGATTCAGTTAACGCCATTTTGGCCCGACAATATCGAGTCCTGGTTCTGCTACGCAGAAGCCGATTTTTGCATGCACAGAATCACGGACTCGCCGTAGTTAAGGCGTTACCGCGCGAGTTTAACAGGTACGTAACACCTAGTATGTTCACTAGTGATGTTCCCGAACCTTACGAAACGATTAAGCTATCGATTTTAAAACGAGAAGACCTAACTGATCGACAACGGTTAGACCAACTCCTTAACAATATCGACTTGCAACATGGTTCAGCGACGGACATGTTGCTTAGAAGGAGAAAAGTCATCGGCCAACGAACTTTCGATGATGTCCTATTTAGACAACTTTTCTTGTCTAAACTCCCTCAACAGGTGCAGGCAGTGCTTGTTTCATTTCAAAACAATGCCATAGATGAACTAGCTGCATCTGCCGATCGAATCTTGGAAATCACTAGATCTTCTAAGGCCGAGGTTTTTTCCGTCAAAGAAAAACCCCAATCGACCTCGACTGACATGTCACACGCTTACACGATATCTTAGAGTTCGCAATGACCGTAGTCGGTCAAAAGCCCCGCGTAGAAGTGTCTCACGTAAGCGATCTGGCTCTCGACCACGAGAGACAGACAATCCCGACTGGTACTGGTATCATAACCAGTACGGTAAGTTTTCCAGAAATTGCAGGAAACCTTGCAATTATCCGACTTCAAAATCGACTGACACGAATAAGATTTCGGGAAACTTCCCAGCCTGCACGCGTTAACGGCAACCGTAGCCGGCGAATACAGCCGTCTGTTATACGTCACGGATGTGACTACGAAAGTTCGCTACCTCGTCGACACTGGCGCAGAAGTTAGCGTTCTTCCAGCAAATCTCGACGACAGACTTCGCGAGTCTGTTTTAAGTTTACAGGCGGCAAACGGAAAGCCGATCGCCACTTACGGTAAAAGGTACGTCTACCTTAACGTGGGTTTACGCAAACCCATACACTGGATTTTCGTGGTTGCAGATGTCTCTATGCCAATCATTGGTATAGACCTGTT